GAGGGAATCAACAGGTTTTTACCTTTAGCAAAGCAATATGGTCACCGACATTCCCAGTGTGGAAATTCATTCTTGCATTGTCGGCGTGAACCTGTTTGTCTTTGGGACGGTAGAATATAGAGCCACCAATGGACAACATAGCAGCAATTGATATTATCTCATCGGAGCACTTGTACTTGTCAGAAACAACAATCATCTTCGACAACATTGGATCAAGAGGAAATTCTGCCATCCTTCTACCAGCTTTGGTCAATTCACCGAGCTTGTTTAGAGCACCAAGGGCAAAGAGCAGTTCTAAAGCCTTCACAAGAGCTTCAGCAGGTGGAGGGTCCATGAAATCAAAGTTTATCAAATCATGAATACCAAGACTCTTCAAAGCAAGTACCACACTAGCAAGATTTGTTCTTTGTACTTCTGGCACCGTGTTTTCCTCTAAGTCATTGTTGTAATTAAACGCTGTGTACAAACGGTAACACTTCCCTGCGCTTGTTCTTCCAGCTCGACCAGCTCGCTGAGTTGCTGAAGCTTTAGAGATAGGAGTAATAAGCAAAGATTCCATCCCTGTTCTCGGGTTATATGATTTCATCTTGCTAAAGCCTGGATCAACAACATACTTTATACCATCAATGGTCAATGATGTTTCAGCAATGTTTGTTGCTAGGACTACTTTCCGTGCCCCTTCTGGAGTTGGCTCGAATATCTTTGCTTGGAGTTCACTTGGAAGGTTTGCGTAAATCGGGCATATAATTAATTCACGGATCTTTGTACCCAAACCTCTTATCCTGTGCTTCAAGATCTCTTCTGCAGTTTCAATTTCCTCTTGACCAGTGAAGAAGACCAATATATCTCCAAGTGGCTCCCTCACATGAATCGTAAGCACAGTAACTATTGCTGCATCCATGTAATCAGCTTCAGGTGCACTTGTAAAGTTAATTTCTACTGGATACCTTCTTCCTGGGAAACTGAAAATCGGGGCTGTGTCAAAATAATCAGAAAACTTCTCTGCGTCCATTGTTGCACTAGATATCAACAACTTCAAATCAGGTCGAAACCGTGCTATATCCTGTCGAATACAAGAAGATTCAATCAGAATATATCCAAGGATCTAAGCCCTGATTACACAAGCAAGAAGATACGTTGTAAGGGAAAAGCCACTTGCCTTAACTAATCCAAACAGTATATCGGTCGACAGGGTTCTTTCATGAGCCTCATCCACAATAACAACACTGAAAGGTTTTGTAATCAGTAAGCAAAACGTTCTGCTATGTCTAATAGTAATGATGAATAAGTGCAGGAATGTTCATTACCTATAGCTGGCCAGATCTGGTTCACCAAGCAGCTCACGCAAAAGCATTCCATCAGTCATATACTTCAGAACTGTTTTGTCTGAAGTACAATCCTCAAATCGAATGGAATAGCCAACCTGTGACAAACACCACGCAAATTTTAGAATGTGAGAGTGAATCGACAATTGTCTAATAATCAACTACCAGCAGAAAAAGACTAAAAGAAGCCAACATACCTCGTGTCCGAGTTTGACACCCATCTCTTGAGCCACACGGGCAGCAACACTCATAGCTGCAACTCTTCGGGGCTGTGTACAACCAACCTGAAATATAATACAAACTCGTTATGATACTTTATTTGAAAGAGGAACAACTTTACCAGGTGCTCTATACTTTTGAACCCATCCAACCACAAATGTCATGAACAAAGGCTTTCTTCCTAAATGCAACTACAGTTTAGATGAGTTAGCTTCTCAATAAAAAAAATGGGACAACTTCACTGGTAAATAAGTAAGTCCACTGTCAACAAGCTAACAGCTCATGGCTAAAGGATAACACACCAATTTGTTGATGACTTCTACACTAACAGTTCATATTGAAGGAAACATGTGTTTAATGAATGCTGCCAATTCAGGGCGAGTAGTAGGTTGCACCTTTCCCCGCTTAGTGTAACCAGCTTCATGGAGATATTGTGGTATTTGTGTAGTCTTGCCTGAGCCAGTGTCTCCCACAATGACAAGAACCTAATAAATTCAAAAAAAAAATGAAAGAAAAGGGTTTCAAATTTAAATTACATGTAGCAGAGGAAACCATAAGAAACTATATAAAAACAAATTGTGCACAATTTCATAATCAAACACTTCAATCCACATCTTCATCATGACACTGAAATTTGATGCATGCTTTCATTTAGAATTATTTCCTTTGCTGTTGATTTTGTAACAGTTACACATAGTCATATCTTATATCTGGAGAATACTGTTTTCGATAGGGATTGGTCCAGTGAGCTTTTTTTTTTGTTATTAGATGGTTTCGAAAATGTAAACCTTTCCTTTTGAAAACTGAATGTCGCAATGTGTAAACTAATGGGTAAAAATGAGAGCTAAAATCACCTGATGCTCTTCCACAGCCTTAAGCAGCTGCTCACGATATGCGTAAATTGGCAGACTTCTTCTGACCTCCTGATTCACAAACAAATAGATGCAAGAACATGTCAGAATAAATTTTGGTTTCTGCTACGGATGTTAATTCAAACAAACATACAAAAAAAATTACAAGAACTTATTCCGAATTACATCCTAAAACAAAAATCTGGTGACTGAGTTTGATCAAACAGAGTTAATGTGGGAAAAAAAAAATAGGACCTGAAGTTGTTCTAAAGCTGTTTTCTCTGCCAAATCTTGAAATTCTTTAGCACGCATATCATCATCTTCATACTGCATGAAAAAAACAAGCAGTCAACTACAACTCAGAGCATATAACAGAAGGTGGCGTCAAGTTTAATAGATATCATAGCAATACATTTTCACCAGCCATCACAGACTCCTTTATGAAATTTATCTGGTCCTCAAACACAAACCTGCAAAAAATAAATACACTTAGAATCCTCAGATCACTAATCCAAGTTTAAGAAGCTAACCAGGACTCTTACTCAAACGAGATAAACAATTTTTTTGGCAGTAGAATAAGATTAAAAGAACAAATATGCAACAGATCTTACTGATAATCGTCTGAGGCTTGCTTATTCTTTGCACCAAATTTTAATGTTGCTTTTCCTGCACAACAATGTCATTTAAATCAGCATAAGAGAAAGAAAAAAATGTCACTTAAATAAGTGAGTAGTAAAAACAAGAGTGATCAACAGTAATGAAGTTAAAGAAGATACCAATCTGATGGTCCTCCCAAGCTTCTTGCTCTGCAAATGGATTCATTTTCTCCACTGCATCCAGGTCTCTAAATAAAAAAATGGTGATTTAGCAAGCCCATATGGATTTTGCAAAATAGTAAAGATAGATATTCCAAGTGCAAGCAGATTGCAATCTGTTGGATCACTACAAAGCGCTCTTTGTCAACTCACTTGTATCGCTGTACAGCAACAGCAAATCTCTTCTCCTGATCAACACCCCCATCTTGATCATACGCATCTGGAATTCTATACTGCACAGTAAGAGAGAGATGTGTTAGATATATAAAAATTATAAATAACCAGGAGGGAAGGGTCCAGCAAGATGCAAACATTACCTCATCGACATTATCTTCATCTTGTGTTCTTTTCTTCACGAGGTCATAAAGCTCTTTCTTGTATCTAACAAAGATAACAGATTCAATTAACCACAACTAGACATACCTTCTTAAATATATATAGGACCATATAACTTTTAAATGGCACAAGAAAAAAAAATGCAAAAGAATAAATCACAAAGGAGAATTTGTTTACTCGTTAGAACAAGCAAGTTGCATCAGATAGATGATGGCAATAGCAACAACCACCTAGATACAAGAAAGATGTAACAATTACCTAAACTCACGAAGCTCTGTTTCAGTGAGCTTTTCACCTCCAAAAAGATATTGTTCATCTTCTATCTCATCCCTGTGGAGAAAGGGAGGAAACGTGAGAAATCAATTAAAGAGAAGAGATCAATAATAAGGAAAAAAAGAGTGCAAAAAATGTATATGTCGTATACCTTAGTTCTTCCAGTTTCTTCTGTTCCCTCTTCTTCAAATATTCTTGTCTCGAGACTTTCCTGCATCAGTCCCAACAAAAGATAATCAATAACATGAACAACGCAAAACAGCCTCCAAAGGGATAATTTATACAAGAAGGAGCACCGTCAAGGGTTATTAACGAAGAGGTGGTTGATGGACTCTATAAAATTGGTAATCGGAAAACAAGATTGCAATTTTATACCGTATTTCAATGGCGGGACTAAACAGTACACAGAAAGGTACATTATTAACTACTGTTTACCTTTGTGTGTACATAAAAGAAGACAAGTTTCATTACCTCAAGGAGTATAAATCATCCTTCTCCAAAGCATTTGCTCTTCGAATGGCCTCTTCTGTTTTGCCAGAAAAAAATTCCAAAATGAGACTGTCAGGCAAAAAAAGGCTTCTATCTATATCATAATGAATCATAGAAATGCTACAACTTGTTCACGCATGAATTATAACAGATTGTACCTTGTTCTTTCTTTGACAATTTTTGCTCTGTTAGCTGATCATTAAACAAACAAAAAGAATTAGTCAGTATGTATGTCACTGACTTTCACATG